GGTAGCTGTGCAGGAGTTCGAAGGCTGGGCGTCTGCTCACCAAGATTCTTTAGCGCGTGCGGCTGCATATGCCAGATATGCCAGCTCCACTGACGTATGGTCAAAGGTCCACGCGCCGTTATTGCAGATGGCCAAGGCGCACTTTTGCGCTCATGAAGGGCCACGGGCTCCACATCTGTCTGTTGAAACTTGGAGGCTCATTCAGCAGCGCAGCGAGCTCCATGAGCTAATTGGTGTCCAAAAGCCCGTTATGGCTTCGGCAGCTTCGCTACAATTGCTACTGCGAGGGTGGAGTGTGGTCACGCTTTTGTCTCGACTGCAGCGGAATGTGCGAAAAGCGGTGGCTGCTGACCGCAGAGTTGCTCTTCTGAATCTCACCACGTCTCTGGAAGAAGCTTTTGAACACCAGGACTTCAAGCAAGTTTGGACTCTGGCGCGCCGGATTGCCCGCACGGGCCTTGGTCCTCGAAGACGTTTCTTTCGCCCCGCAGATGCCACCCCTATTTCCACGGCTGAGTGGGACACATACATGAAGGACACCTTTGATGCTCCGCGAGTGGATACGGCTCGTGAGTATTTGTCCCCGCCTGGGCCGCCTGCTGTGGCTCCTACGGCGTTGCAGGTCAAGCGTGTTCTTACGCGGGCCAAGAATGGTCGAACCACTGTCGAAGGGTCCATGCCGGCTGAAATCTGGAAGCTGATCTATGCTTTTTGTCCCAAGACGGTCAGATTGATTCACTCGTCGATTGCTGCAGTCGTTGCCAGTACCCGCACACCGCCACTCCAATGGTGCGTGTCCATTATGGCCCGTGGACAAAGGGAATGGCAAGGCCAAGTGTGCAGGCAAACGCCCAGTCAATGGAGTTGACCCTTTTGGTCGTTCGTACTTGGCAGCGAGCTTTGAAGCTCATGACAGAGGGTCCATTCCTGACTGGGCTTTTGGGTGCGTTCCTGCGTGCGCGTGCGCGTGCGCGTGCACGTGCGCGTGCGCGTGTGCGTGCGCGCGTGCGCGCGTGCCCGTGCGTGCCCGTGCGTGCCCGTGTGTGCCCGTGTGCGCCCGTGTGTGCCCGTGTGTGCCCCGTGTGTGTGCCCGTGTGTGTGCCCGTGTGTGTGCCCGTGTGTGTGCCCGTGTGTGTGCCCGTGTGTGTGCCCGTGTGTGTGCCCGTGTGTGTGCCCGTGTGTGTGCCCGTGTGTGTGCCCGTGTGTGTGCCCGTGTGTGTGCCCGTGTGTGTGCCCGTGTGTGTGCCCGTGTGTGTGCC